ATATCATTGTGGGAAAATTCTACTACCGGTCCTTCATCACCTTACACGAAATAGGGTGAATACATCTCATGACAGGAAAACCTTATGGAATGTCGCCAGCTGTGTCGTCTGCCATTATAGTGGTGATAATTTCCGTAATCATCTTTAGCATTAAGATACAACTCTAAGTGATAGTAAAAGGAATCTTAATGAGAAATCATATTATAATTGTTGTTTGACATTGTTTTCGCAACTTGGTCATATCGGTAAAGGCCTAGAGGAACACACCTAGTCCGGAGTCCATAGTATGCATGATAATTTAGTCGGACCGTGGACGAGGTACATTCCCAGGCGTTTCGCCGGCATCATAGTCGGCATAGTCAGTAAGTCTTGTCAGCCTTAGCACCACACTACAACTCGTCAAAGAGACAAGTGAAGCCGATCATCTGACTAAATGTGTACTAAACAGTTGTGGTATCTCTCCTTCCCCCCTCGGCTAATCACCAATCCTATATCCTCGTATAACGCCTTCACTATAACAATTTCCTACCTGTTTATCTAAACCTATTTGAAATCTATTGACACTCCCCGCTGGTTTCCTCATCCCTCCTACTGTGCCGGGAGTGTTGCTCCAAGGCTGCGGTTTAATCCGTAATCCTCTCGCTACGGGTCCTATCAGAGCTTCCCTCGTACTCCGTGGGATCCTTTCCTTATCTGTCTGTTTCAGTGATTTCACTCCATTGCTGTCACCGTATCCATGCTACTCAAGGCGTTATGCTCTAAACTATGCCGCAAACCTCTTATAGCACTTTACTGAATCAGAACAATATTTATTAAAAATGTGTACTCGGCTTCACACTACGATATAGAATATCCCACCTTGTACAGAGGAACAAGAAAAAGTCACAGAATGCCTTGTAAACAAGAAGGAAAGTTACAGGTGAGGATCTCTACGTGGGAAAAACTCAGATATTGAAGGGTAATGTTGGTGCAAGAGGGCGGTGTTAGCTCACAGATGGTAACGACAGCACTAGGAAATACATGACGAAATCCTTGTCAGTCGAGGTAGTTTCTGATTTGTGTGCTTGTGCGTGCACTCTTGTGTACTTTTAGTGTCATGTTCTGATTGGTTTAAGGGAGAGGGTTGATGCGGTGACTAGATTTGCCTAGCCCCTGTTGGACACAGTGAATCATGCTCCGCTAGGTATTCCATGAGTCGAGAGATAACCGTGAAATGCAGACAAACTAATTGTGAAGTAAAGTCACTACAACACGTATACCTCAGCCTCATTGAACAAGCCCCTGAAGTATGGATTCTCAATTGGCACGGCAACCAAACTTGAAGAGAAGCTGGGTTTCAACAGATATAAGTCCAAGACAACCCTCCTACGATATACGGTGAGGCCGATTTACGAATCCCTTCGACCAGCCTTCTCAAATGAAATGAAAAGTACGCCAGCATCAATATATTAAGGGATTCTTCGAAACCCGGCTTCACTTCATATCTCACAAGTATAT